AACTGTCCTTCTGCCAAAGACATTGCTTTATTTTGTCGTTCCGAGTTTGGGTTGTCTACGGCAAGCTCATTGCATGTCCTGCGTCGTGTATGGGCTTTGTGATCTCTGTCAYGTCGGAGTCGTTTCTCATGCAGCGGAACATGTCATACGCTATGTTCCATGTTTCGAATTCTGTTCCACTACAAGTATTATGTTCCATGTTTCAAATTTTGTCCAACTGGAAGTGTAAACATGATTGTGAAACTGATTGGTGGATGCATGAGAAATGTCATCTTGTGTGAAATTGGTCAGTGGATGCCCAAACCTTCTTTGCATTACCATTTAAAGTGCGGATATTCATCGTGAATGAGCACAATTTTAAGTTCTACACTTGTACATAGAATATTGAAATAAAGTGGTTATTAAAATACTCCTTGCCCATCACAACTGTAAACAAGTATGTTCCTCAATGCCCTCACGTCGGGCGAGATGATGAACGTGCCTTTATGCGGAAGTCCGAATCTCTTCAACATATAAACAATCGTCTTGGGTGAGACGATGGGTGTGCTTGCATAACTTAGGGATAACCTGGTATACAAAAATTTGATGTGTTGACCAACAACAGTTCGATCATGACACCTTGCTCATCGCATACGTAAGGTTTGAATTTAACAAGTATGGATCTCTGCACACTCCCGCCCATTGTCAAAGTCACAAGTCTTCTAGATAAGTCCAGATCTCATCATACATCTAAACAACCGTCTTCAGCAAGACGATGAACCTGCATGTGTAACTTTGGGATAACCGAAAGAATTATACTGATTCTCTCCAATTCAATTTGATTACATTGCTAATTTTCCTTACAAATTCCAACAACTATGGATATCAGCAAACTTTCGCATTTGGGCCGAGTGGATGGGCACGCCTATGTGGAAACACTGCAGTAAAAAACGAATTCGTATGAAAGAGGACAGTGTCACAATATAATATCTTTCATTACAATTATGAAATTGAAGTTTGACAAGTAAGGATCCCGACACACTTCCGCATAGGGTTCCCTGTGTGGCGTTCCAATCGTTATTCGTTTATGAAGTTTGAGTAGTATGGATCCCAACACACTTCCCCGCAGGATCACCAAAACGTTTTTGAAGTTCAACAAGTAAGGATCCCAAAACATTTCCGCACAGGGCTCGCGGGTGGCGTGCCTAACATGTGTGGGTCTCTACACGCTTCAGCATTTGGGATTTCAGTTATAAAGTTTCACAAGTGCGGATCTCAACACTCTTCTACATGTGGTTAAGCCATGGATGGGCATGCCTACTTTGCTTAGGCTGCAACCACAAATGAATTTGTTGAAAAGAGGACACAGTATAATATAATATTTTAACGAATAACATGTTTATGGTACTCGGGCGCCATATACCTGGCAGTGCCCGCAAGGTGCATCGTACTCAGGACCACCTCTTCACGCTTCGCAAATAATTTATGCACGATCGTCGCCAGGCCGAAATCCGCAAGCATGGCGCTGACACTGCGTCCCGGTCCGTCTGTGGAAGGACATTGCTGCTCTTGACATCGCGGTGGATGACCAGTTCACGAGCTCCGTGATGCAGATAGTCAAGCCCTTCTGCGATGTGCAAGGCGATCAAGATGCGCTGGGGGAGCGTAAGCGGAGGCTGCGCAGCTGTTCCCTCTTGGGGGTGCAGACGTGAGTGCAAGCTGCCTCCTCGGAAGTAAGGGTAGACCGACATCGAGGGACTTCCCTCATCACAGTAGCCGGTCAGGCTGATGAGATGCGTGTGATTAACCCTGCTAAGAGTGTTCACTTCCACAACAAACTGTCTCCGCTTCATCGCCGTCACCTACCCGTGCATGATTTTGACCGCGACCTCCTGGTTGCCCAATTTACCGCGGTAAACAGTCCCGAAAGCTCCGGCACGACCAATAATATTGCGGGAGTGGATGTCACCGGTGCACTCGCACAATTCAGCGAGTGTGAACTCAGTTACGTCGGGCAGCTGGACGTCTCCCTCTGGACAGAGACATCCGTCCTTGCTGTAGCTGAGAACYGTAGTTTCGGTCGGCCGCTCCACGCTTGACCCGCCGCCGCTGTTCATTGGCACCTCGATGCTTGCGCAACCCTTCCCYCCACCAGGCGGCTCTTTAAGGCGACAGCAGTGCGACCGAAAGTTCAAGAACAGCGCGCAGGCGATGACACCCACGGCCGCCGCAGATAGAACCGGAACCACAATGAGGACAACCGGTTGAACCGGATCGCGCTTAGATGCCTTGACAAGTGGGGCTGTAGGGGCGACTTGAGAAGAAGAAAGGACGATAGAAGGATCCGATGCAGGGAGGGAGAGAGAGGAAGGGAAAGAAACGGGAGAGATGACTACATTGACTAGGTCGTCTGAACCAGGCGAGTCTGAGCTGGGAACGCCTGGGTCGAGGACCGGCGGCGGCTGTGATGACGAGGACGGGCTCGCCATCATCTCGCGACTACTAGTATTCATCAGTAACTGGTCTATCTCCAGCTCAAACACGTGTTCGTCGGTCGATCCCAGGTACACGTGTAGACTTGCGCCATTGGCGCGTAGCGCCAATCCATATAGCCCAATTGTGTCGTAGGCCGCCACTGTCTGCACGCTCAGTGTCGGTCCACAGGGCGTGCCAAGTCTGATCAAACGCAAATATCCATTGCGCTGAGCAACTAAGAGATTGCATCCGTCAGGCGTAACGGCCACAGCCTTCGGATCGTAGAACGAAGCCATGGAAGCAGCGCCATCTTCCACTCCCAGGCCGCCGGCTCCCGCAACGAATGTCGGTGTCTTCGACAAGGACGAGAGATCGATTCCCCACAACCTAAGAATGTCATCATTGACGAAGTAAAGGCAATTCCCTTCCGGATCGAGGCTCTGTGGCCCGGACACTATGGCGCCCACGTCGGGAATCCCATGCTTCGGTATGCTTGCGACCACCTCGAAGACGCTCTCCCCACCTAGAGGAACAGCGTCGGCTTCCTCGACCATCGCAGCAGAGTAAAGCTGAAAGTAATTACTACTCACTCCCACGGTATACACGCGACTTCTGTTCGGATTGAACGCCAAGCTCGCCAACCAGTGTTCGGTGGTGGGTATCGATACACGGCTGTCGTCGCTTGTTGACAACAAAGCCACGCTCGACGTCGCCAGAGCGTCCGCACCCGTGCTAACGACAAGATGGGATCCCGACGAAGTCACGTCCATGCCGTCGCACGTGGTCATTGTTTTCGAGTCGGTGGTGTCTGGATCGAGTACGACCCTCGCCGTAACAGGGGCTTGGCCCGTCGGCTCGGGCCCTGCCCACCAATTGCTAATTACCTCCTCCCGCGCCTACCTGCTATTGATTCCACCTCCTGCGTTCACATTTCGAAGATCTGCTCGCCTGTAGGACAACCGCCGATGTGTAGTGGACTGACTCTCGAGCTGAGCGCATGACTCATCGAGGATATAGTAAAGGATAGGGTGCAGAGGATCTACGACTAGGTTACGGATGACACTCCCGCATTCAACTGTTTGATTACCTAGTAC